TCTAGACAGGTTCGCACGAACCGGCTGAATCCCACCACTGACTACTTGCATCATTGACGTAAAATTAATTCTTATTTGAACGATGTTTCTACCGCCCTGCTATGGTCGTCATTACGCTTAACAAGGGCGTTTCATAATATACATTTAAGTAAAGAATTGCATTTATAACAATGTATTCACAATAATGTCAAATTATATATTTTGTTGTATTTTTACATAGGTAAATAGTAATTGTTTAAAAACTTATTCAAATAGTTTTTGGCAACAAAGTTAGAAAAACTACCTCTCTCCAGATAATAATTAAAAATTATTATTTCTTCTAACGTCTCGCCATTGCACCTTCATCAGGACTGATTAGTATAAACAGTTATTGTATCACTAGCCCTGATGATGTCGCAACAGTGAAATGTTGGCTGAAATAAAAGTTGTTGTTTTTTTAATCATTGTCTGTAGAGTATTGTTTGTTTCTTTTAGAGCAAAGCTACGATTGGCTATCTGCTGTATCCACCACGAGGAATCGAATTAAACAGTTTGATTCACATGGCAGTTGTAATTGCATGAAATTAAATGAGAAATTAAGAACTAAAGATTATGGGCGCTATAAACCAAAACTGTGATGTCTGTCATGAGATTTTAATCCAAAAAAAGAAAACAATTTGCCTTTGCCAGTCCTTGTTATTACTTATAAACTCATAACGGAAATTAGCAATCCATGTGTTCGAAGGAAAACGAAGTTTGATAATAAACAAAATTACGACACTTATTAAAAATATTTAGTGATAGCAATAATTGTAGAAACAGTGAATAAAACTGGTTATACAATGGAAATATTGTTAGATGGTTTCCCCCTCTATTGCATGATAATAAGCTGCACCGGAGTAGTCACGTGTTAATAGTTTATATGTGACTGCTGTCATCTAACCAATCAGACAGTACCACATGAGCGTAATACCCATAAAGTAGAGGCACTCATTATTCCAGAAGCAGTAATGTGGTGATTAAACCCGTAATTACAAGTACAATTGTGTATAAATCAAGGTTTTTTTGGCAGATGAGGGCTACTCTATGTCACATGTTGAGGGTGATAGAAGGAAAGCAGCTAGTCAACATCATCTAACAATAACACTTTTTTACCAACAAATAGTGGGATTGATCGTAATATTACAGTGTCCCATGGCAGAAAGGACGAGCATATTCGTCTAAATCCCAGCCTGCATTTTGTGAGTCTAACGCCCTAACCATCAGGCCATGCCAGGCTGGAAGCGTTTAGAAACTCTAAAGGGAGTACATGTTGATAAACAGAATCAGTCAAGGCAAAACGACCATCAGTTTGGTTTGAATTTCGCGCAAAGCTATACGAGGGCTATCTGACGTAGCTGTCCTTAATTTAGCAGTAAAAGGCTAGAGAGAAGGCAGCTAGCCATCACCACCCACGGCCAACTCTTGGGCTACTCTTTTACCAACGAATAGTTGGATTCACTGTCACATTATAATGCCCCTATGGCTGAAAAGGCGAGCATGTTTGGGGGGGGGGGATTCGAACCGGCGATCCTCAGATTGTGAGTCAAGCGCTCTAACTACCTGGCCATTCCGGGCCGCAAAACGACCAAGCTCTTCGGGAATGATCTTATGAGTATGCTCATATGTGATACACAAATCCAATATAGATTTGGTCAATAACCCAGACGTAAGTAGAAATGTGAATGTTACCACTAGAAACAAAGATACACATTAACATGAAGAGGCTTCAATGGATATGTAATTGATTAAAAATCACTGCTTTAAAAAAATTAGTAGTTAAGGTAATACCCTAGACACTGCGCTGATTGGCTGCCTCAGAAAGGAGGGGTAGAGAAGATTACGTCATAGTTTAGTGAAGTGGCACCAGAGAGCGCATTTCTGGTGAGGGATGACATCATACTTAGTGTTACTCACCAGAGGGTGTGTTGCTAGGGGAAGGGGTGACACCATAATTCGATAAGAGAGGGCCTGTTACTATAGGATTACAGTGTTACTAGACATATTGTGTGTGTTTTATAAAGGCAGTGTTTCTATAGGCAAATAGAACAGCATACAGATTTCAACTCGTCTCAACTTATGTTTACAGTTTTTATTTATATATTTAACTGACATCCTTGTGTTATACAAAGGCAGATGGTGTTGCTATAAATGGATAGTTCAATGGGGTGGCGATCTCATCATAGGGTGTCTCAACGTGTCTGAACATGTGATTACGTCAATGTGTGGATTTAATCATATCATAAAAAGCTAAAGTAAAAAAACATTATTTTAACGAAACTATTATAACACTGTTACATATGTTAGTTTTTATGACAAATACAATCTGAATTTATCCATTAATTGAATAAGGCAACTATCAATAATTTAACTTTTCATACATTTTGTTACGTCTCTTATTTATATACCAGTCTACCCTATACCTAGTAAATACTAGAGCATTCGCCAAAGTACAGGATAGTTCTAGAAAGTAGAGGGCGTGAGAATTACATGATCTCGATGACGCAACAATTTACAACTTTCTGTCCTGAATCATTTTATCATACAAAATGTATCATGTTTATAAATATTGAATAAGATAGGTATTACAGCAGATCGTGTTAAGTATAGATATAGTACGCATTTAACGTACTGGTTATAGTTTTCACTACTATATTAAATTTGAATGACATACGTTTTGCATTTCCTGACGTTTTATATGTAAAACATTTGATGTTAACCCATTTCTATATTCAATATATTGTCTAACATCTAATTGCCCAGAAAAAAAATGCTTATTTAAATCTCTAAATAGTATACAATAATTTAAATATTTACCTATTTGTACATATTTTCACAAATCTGTCTGGAGCTTCTTTCTTGCTGATTGAAATTTTATGCATATAGGCTCGATAAGTAATATTCTTACCATTTCGAACAACAATCGTTTACTACAGATAATTTGCTCTTTCAACCTGTTGCTGATGCATCCCAGCTGATGACACGTTGAGTAAGCTTGACCCTTGTGGAAGACCAAGTGATATGTTCACCTAAGGCTAAAACAAGTAATGTTTTCGTTTCTATAAAATTGACAGACAAACCAAAAATAATATGCCCGTATCTTTCAAAACTTCTCTCTACGTACACTAACAAACTTATTAGTTCACTAAAGATCAAATACATTTTTCACAGTGAACAGTTTATAACTAAAAAAAGGGTTGACAATCAATCTTAAAGTGACCTTTAATTATTATTATTTTACACTAGCGTACAGCCCGTCTAAAATGACTGGGTAAGTACTACCATCCCTACCTCATAGTATACCCTAACCTCACATTTCATAGCTAACTGAAATAAATAAATTTGGCGAAATCAAGCTTGACCAATAAAGAGACAGAAAGGTGCAGTCGAGGCAATCAAATGTCAATAAATTCCTTTGTGAGCCAATCAAAATTAAGATCATTCACGAAATGAATTCGTGGCATATTCGTATTGGTAAAGATCAGTTAGATTAACAACTTCTAATGTATAGAAAGGCCAGTGCATTTTGGTAACACTAAGTTGCAACAATGGCTTTTATGGCATGTTGCTTAGTAACAAAAGTATAACCTAAAATTGTTGTTAGTCTATGTACCGAAAGTATAAAATTAAATATATAGATAAGAAAACTGGAAAAATATTTGACCTCTTAATTTAAAGTTTTCGTTGATTAAAGAAGTTTGTTTTTGTTTTTTTAAACGTTGATGATATAACGGGAAATAGCTTAATTCAAAAACGATTTAGGTTTAAAACTAAATTGATATTTTTACTTTCATTATAAATTTTATGCACTTGGCTCTAGGTTAGGTGATCCTACACTACGTCTTTATTTTAGGCTTATTATACCAACATTTACCACACGTATAAGGCTGCTTCCCCGACACTAAAATCGTAATGGGGTGACAATTATCGAACTATTCTATCTCGGTAAATGCACTTTGGCTTTTATGAATCCTCCTACTTCGAGAAATCGAGCGTAAAGTGATACACACTGGCTTTTATATACGTTAGATATTTATTTGTGGAACAAACTCATACGGGATTTGCCAAACTTTCACATAACAGTTTCTAAATGAAAGAACGACCTGAGACGTAACCTAGCGGTTAGCGAATCGGACTGGGATTCTGAGGGTCTTGGATTCAAAACGCGGTGCCGCCAAACGCACTTCGTACTTTCATAATCGGCAAACAGTAATCTAATTATTCTATCTGGATAAATGCATTCTGGCTTTTATATAGCTTAGATTTTATAAATCCAATACATTTAAAATTTATCATTACAATAACAATGTAAAATGATGAACTCAGTGAAAATACAAGAATTTTACATCGACTTTTTCGTTTATAAACTATATTAAAATATCTTACATACTGAACTGAAATGAACAGTTAGTAATATGGACATAATGTACAAAAGTTGTATGAAAGCTCTTCTAGTATTTTATAAACTAAGATGTTTACAGAAATGGTATATTAACCTATCTTGAAGTTTTGTTAATAAATGTTTCAGTATGTGTGATACTTGTTAAGTCTGTAAATTTACTCCCATATATCAATGATAGCATATTGGGCTATGATGAAACATAGAAAATCACAGAACACTGATTTGCAACTGACGATTAATATATATTTGATCTTTCTATAAAGTGTAAGTGAAAACTAATACATTTCATATTACCGAAACATTGTTTCAAAATCTATTTGAGGAAAATATCTGTTTTGAAATAGTTGATAAGCTAGTTTTTCTAAGCCTACAAACTGAAATTTTACTAATTTAATTTGTATTTAATTCTTTATTCGTTAATTTATGTAGTGACGTGACTTTAGTAGGAATTCTCATGATAAATTCAGTGTTTGTTTTCACAAAATGTTACACAAATGAAAAAATATATACACTAACTAAAATAGTAATACGAACATAAGAAGAAAAATTTGTAGGAAAGCTAATTTAGTATTTTATAAGCTCAGATATTTATAGTATAGTAGTGTAATTTGAGGTTATAAGCTGTGTTCATATCTGAAAAATGTATTTGATACTTTGGTAAATTACTAAGTTTAAATGTCAGGGTACATAAAGCAATGTTTTGAAAAATACAGAAATACAATTTCTGGTTTCTCTGTTAGTTCCATAGAAATGAAAGCATTACTTGTTTTAGCCTTAGGCGAACAAATCGCTTGGTCTTCAACAAGGGACAAGCTTTCTCTACTTGCCATCAGCTGGGACGCATCAGCAATAGGTTGAAAGAGCAAACTATCCATATTAAGTGTTCGATTTTCGAAATGGTAAGAACATTACTTATCGAGCCTATATGCATAGTTTTAATCATCAAGAAACATGCTCTAGACAAAGATTTGGGAAAATATCTACAGAAAGATAAATAGATAAATAACTATTTATGTAGATCCTTTAAACTTTAGTGGAGCAAATAAACTTATGAAGCTAAACATGAAATTATTTTATTTTTGAATTATTGTATATTATTTAGAGATTTAAATAAGCATCCTTTTCAGGATGATTAGATGATAGACAATATATTGATTATAGAAATTAATTAACAAGAAGTGTTTTACATATAAAACATCAAAAAATGTAAAAATTAACTCATACAAATTTTATTTAGAAGCAAAAACTGTAATCAGTACACTAAGTGCATCCTAAGTTGATAATTAACATGATCTGCTATACTATCTGTCTCGTTCGATATTTATAAAAACAATACATTATGTATGATAAATCTTTCAGAACAGATAATTGCAAAAGTATGTAAAGTAAATTATTGACCATAATAATTGCCTCATTCAACTAATGGATAAATTCAGATAGTGTGTGTGATAAAAACTAACATATGTAACAAAGTGATAATAATTGTCTCGTTAAAATAATGGTTTTTCTTGTAACTTTTTATGACATATAATTAAATCTAGACATTCATGATTTAATCACATTTTCAGATACATTGAAATGCCCTACGACGAGCTCATCATCCTACTGAACTATCTGTTTATAGAAACACCATCTTCTGTAGCAGTACTAATCTTAGTAACACCGACTGACTAGTAACAATCTCTGTCTTTCTAAAACACATGTCAGTTAAATATATAAATGGAAACTATAAACATAAGTTGATACGAGTTGAAACCTGTATGCAGTCCTATGGAAGTATAGTAACACAATAAAGCTAGAAAGACCATCCACCTTTGTAAAACACATGTTATACAATTAAATATATAAATGAAAACTATAAACATAAGTTGAGACACCTTGAAATCTGTATGCATTCCTACAGAAGTATAATAACACTGTCCACCTACAGAAACACCATCTGCATTTGTAAAACACACACAATATGCCTAGTACCAATGTCCGCCTATAGAACCTTAGTGCCACTACTCACTAATAGAACCCTAGTAACATTGTCCACTTACAGTAATAGGCTCTATAATATCCAACTATGATGTCACCCCCTCCCCTAGCAACACGCCCTCTGGTGAGCAACACTTAGTATGATGTCACTTCTCCCGTAGCAACACGCTCTCTGATGCCGCTTCATGAAATTATGACATCTTCATCTCTACCCCCCATGGCAGCCAATTAGCGCACGGTGCCTAATATATCGGGATAACTACTATAATAAAACCAAAAGGCTGAAATACACATTAGACTTCAAACAATAGGATGACCAAAGGTAAAGGTGAGATATTTTTAAAGATTAATCCAAATTTAAATTGGTTGTCAACAATCAATGACAGTTTATTCGATGGCAAAGAAGAGATTGGTGTCACAGTCAATGTATAGAAGCCAATATTGGAGAATTACACAAAACTGATGGCACTCTGACTGTTGATAGGTAGAAGGAAATTTTTATCCATCATGTCATTCCCTTAGGAACAAGTATCATCAAAACACTTAACCCAAATATATAGAAAATGTTGTGAAAGAATACCATGAAAGAAAAAATATTGTTGGAACACTACTCACAGTCATTGCTTGGTCTGCACGTGTCCTAGTATAAATATTATTAAGGTTGTATGTGTTGTAAGTATGACTGGTAAGTCAAACAGCAGTCAAATCATTTTACTGAATTGTGGAAAATACAGGACATTTCGAAAAATAAATCTCTACCACCCACTGCTAAACTTACGGTTTTATGAAAACCGTGTACTGCTCTGTTTAAAGCAAGCAGCCCCTAGTGGCACGGCGGTAAATCTGAAGGCTTATAACGATAAAAGTAACGTGTTTTGATACCCCTGGTGGGTACAACACAGATACTCCATTGTGTAGCTTTGTGTTTAACTACAAACATATTCTGTTTAAAGCAAATAAAAGTTATAATGCATTGTAAAACTATTCATTTTTATTTTGCGTTTGCTATAACAAAGTATTGTATGTACCCTTTAGCTGCAGTTACTAATTCTTGTAACTCCTGTATAACCTGTGCATTTCCTTAATTATTTCTAATAGTACATATTCAAAAAAAAAAGAAAAGCATTTTTTTAAACAATGATTTTCATAAAAGTTGTTTGATAGCATGTTAATTTTTTCTAATTCATATAATTTTCTCATTTTTTGCAAACTATATCTATGTTATTGCTTCTTTATTCCTTCTACGATAATTAACATTATGTGCAAACTTAAATTATTCAAAATTATCGCTTATGCAGAATGTGATTATTTGGACATCCATGAAATGCATATTTCTTTTCATTTTCGAAAATACTGAGACAGACTTTCCTAAAAAAAAAAAGGTAATCATCTAGCTTGTGGAACTTAGTGCCCTAATATATATAAGTATAATAGTACTGTCTGTTGTATGTCTATGTAACTACTTCGCAGGGTGTTAATGGATCTTCACCAAAACTGGTATGGAGGTTCATTCGGTCCATCCGGGGGAACATACAAATTTTCAGTTTTGCATTTTGCGATTTTTGTTACCACTACTTTGCCCCCTGTTCATGAATCTTCACCAAATTTTACATGAAGGTTTGTTGGGTTCATGCGGAGATACATACACATTTGCGGTTTTACATTTTGTGTTTTGTAGTTTTTACTGTCATTTTTTATAATTACCTATAGGAGAAGCAACTTTTCATGTACTAAGATAACCTTTCATTAATCAATAATTTCCATAATTTCCGTCCAGGGGACGGGTACTCCAGCTAGTTCTTAATAATTTTAAAACTGTGCATGTGAAATAATGATGAACTTTAACCCATTGTACATGAAACTTACCTTGTTTTAGTATCACTTCAACCACTTTAAGTATCCGACCCTATGGAAAAAAGACAGTTTTACAAACTACTTAATTGAAGTGTTTGAAATATATAATACAGGATGAAAACAAATCTTTTCATTAAAAAATTAACAAGTTCTATTTTCTTATAACTAAAATTAAAACAGTAGCAAAACTGGGAAGATATTTTTCCAAAACATCTGTTGCAAATGTGTTTAAAGTACAGTTGATACAGCGTTTTTTTTACCAGAAAAACTGTTGTCATTTATTTTTTATATCATGAAAGTCTGCCTCAAAGAAACGGATTAAGGAAGAAAAAACAATAAAAAACACTTTTTGATCACTAAACACTACGAGAAATTGTACTTAACCAATTATTGCGTTCATTATCTGAACGAAAATGTTTAATTTCGCTACTTTACAAGGAATTACTTGATGATCACTGAAATGTTTATTCTTATAAGTTTAGTGTGTTTGTGACATTCGCGCAAAACTGGGTTATCTACACTGTCTACCCATACAGTGTAGCTTTGAACTGACAGGCTAGAGGGAAGGCAGCTGATCAACAGTACCCACTGTCAACTTTTGGGCTACTCTAATAGAATAGTAGTTTTTGACTGTATCTTATAACGCACTAACAGTCCCAAAGTGCTGATCAAGATTTTTTTCTTTGGTGGTGCCAGGTCATGAATCTAGTCTGGCATGCTAACTACTTAACCATACCCACCCCATTCGTAAAAGTAAAAAATTCAAACAAAGAAAATAACTCAATCAAGTAATATTTTTCAACACTATGCCGTCACTCTTGTATCTTAGTTGGCAATATTCTGAAGATTTTACCTGCCCTCATAGAATTTCACCCTCCAAAAAATAAATAAATATATATATATGTATTAGTCTCTTAAAACTCACTGACTTGCTTGTCGATGTCATTGCTATTCTCAAGACAGTTTTACTCCTCCAAAAATTAATGGAAAATCACGCAAGATAATAAATTAGATCGAAATTTGGTATTTTGTCATAGGATTGTTACTACTGTAGAATTTGTTTCTTCTGATTTTGAAGAGATAGTAGTAAGTAGAGAGTTAGGAGGTAAAATCCCATTAGGTCATCGTTTATTCTGTTCAATATAATTTTATTGTAGAAAATTAAAGCCATTTATTTAGTACAATAACATATATATTTTTTAAATAGAACTTATTACTCCTTAACGTTTATATACTTTACCTGAGAGTCTAGCATGGCTTGGTGAGCACTCGATCCGCAATCTCGGGGTCGTGGGATCGAATCCCATCACCGAACACGCTTGCCATTTCAGCCATGGGGAATTATAACGTGACCGTCAACCCCCCCCCCCCTCTGGTCTATCACTTCAAAATTAAGGACAGCTAGCGCTGATAACCCTCGGGTAGCTTTGCGCGATATATAAAACAAATACTGTACCTGTTCCTGGCGAGCCTCAGAAAAGTCACAAGTTTTGTAGGCTTGAATCACTTTGTGCGATAATGGGGCCATAAAATTGTACGTGGCGCCAATGGCAGCCGTCACACCAAGAGGCAAGGCAGCAAGCATAATCTTTTGAGGATTAAAATATATATTGATCCATTAATAAAGCCATCAGAAATTCTTCTATAATAATTCTGCATATTTCTAGTTTTATCAAAATAAATGATATGAACTTTTACATATGAATTACATAAAAATTGTTGATGCGTAAATCGATATTAAAAATGTTTTTTTTTTTTTTTGTATTTGTTAAGAAGATGAATAGGTGCGTTACTTCATCTGCTCCAAGGAAAAGCTTGAAAGGTTTGCCTTCCAGCTGCTGGCATAAAAATAAATCTCGAAGATCTGTAGACGTATATTTAGCGCCACATAGCGTAGGAATGCGAAGTTTTGCCTCACACAAGAACTGGTCAAGTTTAACTGAAAAATAAAACGTAGGAAAACATTTTTTGTAAGTTCATAACCATGTATTTAAATATTACTTCTATGATAATTAAATAAAAAACATAATGAAAAACAGAACTCTAACTAATGTAAAGTTTTATTTAAAAATGAATAGCAGAGTCAGTAGTTAAAGCAATCATTAATCAGTCGAACACTATATACTTTCCAGAAATAATAACAACTTTCGAAAAAATGAAACGACAAAATTCCGCAGAACCAATGGTTTGTTTTGTTTGTAGCTAAGCACAAAGATACATCATGGCCTATCTGTACTATGCCCACCACGGGTATCGAAACGCGGTTTCTAGCGTTGTAAGTTCGCAGACATACCGCTATGTCACTGAATTAATCCTCTATAATTATCAGGTGTAAGAAATTTCCACTATGATAACATGCAAATACTAGGACTTTACTACAAGATAAAGTCTATGTTTTATATGATTTTTAATGTAATTGACAAGGGAATATGTTTGCAAATTAAGTAATTTGAGATAACGAATGAAAAATCTGAATATTTTTTTATGGGAATCTCTTAATATCGCCTAAAATCATCCAAAATAGTTCTAGAGTGGAAGAAAAAAAGATTCTTATGCTACAAAATAATTACATAGAAAGTCAGATATTAAAGAAAATAATATACGAGATTTTGTTATTATGTATATCTCACAATATTTAGTAACTGTCATAATAAAAAGTAGCTGCGGCTTTACTATGACATATTATTGTGAGGAAAAAACGAATGCTAAAGTTATTGCGGCTAAAAGCATTTTTTTAAGTGTATGTGTATATTACAGCTGGAATCAGTTTCCTATCACTAAATCATGGAGCCGAATAACCTCGTTCCTGTTGATAGATTCAAGCGTAACCACATCAGCCTTGAAACCCAATCAAATGGGGTCTGTTTAAAAAATAAGTATGAAAATGAAAATCCTCAATGTTTTCAAGCGGAATTCAAAACTTGTTGACGACTACCAAACACCTTATTAATACACACGCCTTATAAAGCAATCACAGTTCTGTAAAGAATTTAATACATTAACTAATGTGTTTCCAGGCACGATTTTATGGTTTGGCCTATACTACAAGTAATATACGAAGCTTGTGACCTAACAAGAAAGTATTCTATATCACTGAGACTTAGGAAAGGCTGCAAAGTTCACTTAATAGTTTTCTAGCTATATCGTACATGATCTGTTGAGATCTCTAAGTGTTGTTCATTGTTGAATAAATTAAATACGTCTTACGTCATGGAAATACTTCGTAATATACTTAATAAAAATTATGTCGACTTTTTTTCTTCGTTGTAATCAACACGTATGAGCATTGACTGATACTAATGATAAATATTAACCGAACCTTACTATTTCAATAGGCCCGGCATGGCCAGGTGGTTAGGACGCTCGACTCGCAATCTGAGGGTCGCAGGTTCGTATCACCGTCCCACCAAACATGCTCGCTCTTTCAGCCGTGGGGGCGTTATAATGTGAGTAGCCCAAGAGTTGGCGGTGGGTGGTGATGACTAGCTGCCTTCCCTCTAGTCTTACACTGCTAAATTAGGGACGGCTAGCGCAGATAGCCCTCGTGTAGCTTTGCGCGAAATTCAAAACAAACAAACAAACTATTTCAATAAATATAATATAAAACACTTAACGTACACAATCTATACAACGTAATTAAGATGCAATTTAGTTTACACGATGATAATGAGAAAAAAATTTCCAGTTAGTTTCACTTTTGTTCTTAACCAAATTATTAGTCTGGAATTTATCCTAGTTATTAACGTGCCTGATTTTCTATTTCAGTTTTCAAGGAAATCGGTTATGGCGTTTCAACATTCTTTTTTACAATAAATGTTACACAAAGTAACTCATCTAAAAATCAAATCAGTACTGACATTAACAGGCAGGAAATATCCAAGTTTAAAATTTCAGACGGAAACTTCTAAATTAAAAATAATTTTATTCATTTATAACGGCGATTTTGAAGTCTCACCATTGATCCCAGTGTATGACGGTATATGGTAGTAAAGGAAGGGTGTATTTGGAGCCGCTGATGCAATAGCTGCAAGGTAACTAATCAAATCTCCTGCAATTATATCATAATGTTAAGTAAACTGTCATGACATACCAGATTATTTTTAATCACATCAAAAAAATTAATGTTATTAGTTTTAAGACACCTTTGAAACAATTTATCATTACTTTCATGTATTCTCAATTAATTGTTAAAAACAACATAAGAGATATCTAATTCAAAATCTTAGGCCAAATGTATTACAATTTATTTCGTGAAAAATTTAAAGTAATTAAACTTTAAACGTTAGAAATTATGATGCACAGCTGTTGCTTTTACGAACATAATCATATGTGTAGTCTAAAATTACTAATGATAATAAAGAAAGAGGTGTATACTATTTTCCGACCTCTTATGTTGTACATGCACTTTTCTTGAAACATCATCACAATTTTACGTTGTACAAGACCTGAAGTACAAAACGTTGCGCTTATTATGTTTAATAAATTTATCAAGGGTTTATAACCATTTATCAATTAATATAAAAAAACAGAGTACCTTATAGTAAAACATGAAAAATATAAATCTGTAAATACGAACTGTTTTCAGTTGGCTTGTAATATAAAGGTGGCAGAGAGGCAATAGCTGTTGCTCCGTGCTGTTCAGCATGTCTAGCCTTAAAATACAACAAAAGTTAATTTCAACTAGTTTAATTAGGATTTGTTCCTACTAATAAAACTCTGAAATTATCAAATGTTTATTGTTTAAAGTAAATTCGTATTTATTATTAAGACTGCTGATGCTATCCTCACGAATACATAACACGTATGATTAAATAAATGAAAGTTTTTTATTGAAAATTCACGTTTACATTTTTTCCAAATATATAAATTTTAAAAACAAAGAATATGTTTAAAAAAATTAAGTTTTAACGTATTCTTACCGAACCCATGCTAAATTTATTAAACTTCTGAAACAATAACTTATGCTACATTACAGAAACATGTATATGGAAAATACAGCCATTTTATTTATGAAATAAATTTCAGTCATTCCCCTTTCAAAGTAATAAATGTTTTATTTGTGCATTTAATTATTAAAAACTCCATTTTTCAGTGTACTTAACACCAATCGTACAAACACTGTTTTTATTCATTTCACACAATTGTTGAAATTTGAATTTATTTTCTGAAATTGTGTAAGTTTAAAATAAATACTAGTACTGTACGTCATCTTTTTCCCGAGTATTATGAACATACTTTGAAAAATCTGTACCTTACAACCAATGTTTATTATAAAACATGAATGGCATTTTATAGCATCTATGTATTCAATGTTTAGAATTTGCTGAGATATGAAATGAAAATATTTAAAAACATTACTTAAAAACATTGTTTTGAGTTGAAGTTGACACTGAAACTATTTAAACACTACTTAAGAGTGAAAGTTATAGTAGAATCTGCAAACAAAAAGTCAATCAAAATTATAGTAGAAATTACTTAAACCCTGCTTTCTGAGAAACTTATCGTAAAATCTCTAAGCCTTGAATTAGTTATCATGACAATGATCTAAAGTTGAATTAGAATTAGATTAATTAAAACAAGTATTTGGACTATTCTTAGGTTAATTATTAGGGCAGCTATCAAAACTCGTTTTAGAGTAAACATTTTTATGGCAAACACCTAAATTCTGTCAATTTACTGCAGCGTTTTGCTTATGAAGACAAATAGTTTCATAACTTTACAAAAAGTACAAAATGTTGCTTCGACTATTCTAAAACTTTTCTGGAATGGCACGTACGAGGTAATTCATTTCCTTCACAAGTGACGTTAAACATTACAAGCAACTTAATAATTTTAATAAAATGATTCACATACACACTTACCAGTTCTTTTGCATCATTAATATTACAACCTCCAACTTGCGTAACTATTAGGTCCAATCTAAAGAACATACAGAGTACGGCTACAATACTGGGTAAAACTAAGTTCAAACAAAACTAAATCTGGAATAATGTTAATAAACTATATGAATATGATAGCATACTGATATCAGCTGAGATACTGAAATATGAAACAGATTATTCAAGATTAGTTATCCAACTTTATAACGATACTAATGTTGTATATTATTAGACATCATAAATATAAAAATAGGTTTAAAAACAGATTCTGAAACAAGTCAGGAAAATAATTTTATGTTTGTTATTACTTCTTAAGCACAAACCTACACAGTGAGCAATCTGTGCTCTTCTTACAGCGGGTATCGAAACCAGATTTTTATTGTTATAAGCCCTCAGACTTTCTACTGAGCTATTAAGGAGGAATCACTATATAAGTAGCCAAATCTTCCTAGGAATGACTTTTATCTACAACTAAATGGTGAATTCAGGTTT